AAGGAGCTGTTACGCTGGTAAGGGTACACTATAAACCACCAAATGGTGGGAAGGAAATAGATGAGTAGATCTGCAAGCCAAGCTCAGACAGATGCAAGGCCAATAGAGTCGAGATAATGGGGGACTTTAATTATCCCAACATAGACTGGCAAAACAATAGCGCAAAGGGCAAGGAGGGGGAAATATTCCTAAAATGCATACAGGACAACTTTCTTGATCAGTACGTTTCCAGCCCAACAAGGAAGGAAGCAGTGCTAGATCTAGTCCTGCGGAATGAAGTAGGACAAGTGGAGCAGGTTTCAGTGGGAGAGCATCTGGGTAATAGTGATCATAACATCATTACATTCAAAGTGCATATGGAAAGAGACAAGGAACCATCTAAGGTAAAGATATTCAACTGGAAGAGGGCAAATTTCAGTGAGTTAAAAAGGGACCTAGCCAAGGTGGACTGGAAAGAAAGATTGGCAGGTAAAATAACTAAAGAGCAGTGGGAAGTCTTCAAGGATGAGATAGCCTCGGGGACAAAATAAATACATTTCCACAAAAGGGAAAAGTAGGGCTTCCAAACCTCCTGGATGACGAAGGTAATTGTATCTAGAATGAAGCAGAAAAAGGAGGCGTATGACAAATGTCAAACCCAAGATACAGAAGACAACCAAATCGAATATAGGAAGTGCAGAAGAGGTTTGAAAAAGGAAATAAGAGGGGCAAAAAGATTATACGAAAAAAGGTTAGCGGGTAACATTAAAGGGAATTCTAAAATATTTTACAAACAAATCAAGGAAAAAAAGGTTAGAGAAAGGTAGGGTGGGACCAATTAAGGACCAAGGGGGAAATCTTATTGTGGAGGCAGAAGGCATGGCTGATGTGCTGAATGAGTACTTTGCATCTGTCTTCACAAAAGAAGTGGATGAACCAAATGCCACAGTATCGGAGGAGAGGGTAGAGGAAATGAATAGGATAAGTATAAACAAAGAGGAAGTACTGAAAAGGTTGACTGCGCTGAAGGTAGATAAGTCGCCTCCGGTTTGCTCTTAAATGTGATGATGCTTTGTTGTAAATTGGCAATACAGTATTTAACAATGGGAAAAATTAACTAACATTTCAGGATAAACTATCAATAGGAACAGACATGTTCGCTTAATGGTCTTTTTTGGTTCATAACATTTCTGATCTGTTCTTCCATTTGCAAGAAAATGGTGCAGTTTGTGCAGCATTCTTGTAAACTAGGTTTTTGCTTTGTTTGTGAACACACTGAATTATACTGTATTACAAATTGACATTGCATGAACAGCTTCAATATATCAATTATACATGATATTTGTCGTTCTGTGACAGAAAGGCAGCAAATGGAAATAAAATGAAATCTGAAAACTGAAGTGTCGCTCTAGTAACTTACTAGGCTGTATTCTTTTGCTTGACCAGAGTAATCTATAATGGAATTTCAGATTCCTCAGGCACAGCAAGTATGAACAGATCCTCTGCTATTGCCTGGGTTATGAATAAATAATTTTTTTTAACAAAATGCAGCAATGCTATAATTGTAATTGTACAGCAGCTCAAATTCTTGATCTTCAAATTCACTGTTTGGGGAGCTAAAATAATAATCCAGGCATTGGAAGGATCTCTCAAAATGCTTCACAGGATCTACTGTGAAGTGAGCAGACTGTGTAAATTGGAGATTAATTAAAAATACCTTGCATTATAATACATCTGTAATTGAGACTGAGGAGCACCAAGTGTACAATTTTGCTCCAGATGTTACAGGAAGTAATTTGTTAGGATTGTTAAGGAGACTGATGATGACATAAAAACAATTATTTTAATACACTGCCTAAACATAAAATGAAGTTAATTTTCCTTTGAGACTGCTTTGACAGTGTTAACGTTCAGAATGGAAAGAATGGTTGCAGTGCAGTCTATCATATCTATCAGTTGTGTGGGTAATGGAGCCCTGACAGCGATAATACAACGCGATTCACATTTATACAATCCCTTTCACATCGGGAGGCTGGTCACCTGACCGGGTGGGGTGGTGGGGGAGATAAGATGACTGAAAGTGCAGTCAAGAGGGTAAGTACTTTGAAAGTAGGGAGGAAGGGGTGAGTTGAAGGAACTACGGGATGGCATTCCAGAGAGCAGGGACAGATTGTGATTTCTGGTGTTTATTAAACCAGTTCTGTTAATTTCTGTTCGTTAGCTCTCCAGCTCTGCACCCACACAAGTAAAACCCCAGTATTAGATTCATTCATACACGTCACCTCAAGCTTGTCTTCCATCAGCGCCTACTCACCTCAGGAACTGACAACATCAAATTTCATGGATTCACACTCCTTGGTGTCTTGTTTGACCACTAACTGTCGTTGAAATCCCACATCCATGCACTCACTCGCTCACCTTTCCGTCACCTCCGCCATTACCTCTCTCCTGGGTTGCCCAGACCATCATTATGCCCAGGCTTGATTATGTCCACATGCTATTTGTTGGACTCCCCAGCTACTCCCTGCGCAAGCTGGAGACGATCCAGAATTCTGCAGCCCAGGTCCTCTCCCATACCAGGCGGCATAAGCCTCTACCTCCCCCAACCCCACACCCCACCCCCATTCTTGCTCGGCTCCACCAGCTCCCTGTTCCCCAGCTGATCAAGTTTAAGAACTTTGTCTGGCTCCATCATAACTCTGCAACCTCCTTTACCAACCCAACTATTCCCTTTGCTAACCTAACCATTCCCTTTGCTTAGCCAACACTAGCCTATTTCAGGTCTCCTGCCCTATCTACTCCACCATTGGCAGATGGGCTTTCAGCCTCTTGGTGCTTCTTTCAAGATATGGCTTGAAACATCCCTCTTTGACCAAGTTTGTTGTTTTTCTTCTCCTCTGAATTCCCACTGTCAGCTCTGGTACCTAACCAGAATTGTCAAGTGCTTTGGAACGTTCTCCTGACATGAAAGGAACTGTATAATTTGTATTGTAAAACCTAGATATGTGTTCTGCATAAAGCACATATCCAGGTTTCAAGCAGATTTATACTGGTGTGACTTTTAAAATTAAAATTTTATGCTGTATTAGAGGCATTTTTAGTTAATGTACTGTTCCCTGAAGACAGGCCAGACACGGCTATTCCATTACCTGTGCTTTCAGTTTCACAAAGATAAGCATGTAGCAAAATCAATTTTGTTATTCAATTAGTGTAATTCATTAATGTCACTCTTAATGGCATAATGATGATTCTAAGTTTTAGAAAGATAACACTTTACACTTTTAATTACTTTGACTGTCACCGTAAAGTACTTGCCAAAAGTGGACAGAAATTGGCATGTTTAATATTTTCATAAGTAGCTCAAATAGTAACGTCAACACATCTGCATTCAAAATTAGTGAGAAAATTAGAGAGAATGCAAATTGGAAAATAGGCTATGCTTTGGTCCGACAAGAAATTTAGATGTGTAAGTGTTGTTGGGGTTTGGTTTAATTGTTCTAGTTAATTATAATGTAAGCAGGTGAACAACTATAATTTTCAAAATCCACTTTTCCGTGAACAATTCAAAGCTTGTAAATCTCTACATTTTGACATTTAGAAGGTATAGAAAATGAGCTGATGACCCTTTTTGTAGAATTTGACCATCTTTTAGCCGCAGGGGAAGCCAAATTGCCTGATTTCCATGGCATCAGGTCACCAACTACATCATGTCATGTGGAATTGCCAGTCACGGTGACCTGTTGATACAAAAGCCCAGAAGCATTTTTAAAATGAGCTGACTGGTCTTTTGCCCGGAGTTTGAATTTTTCCGTAAGTTAATGTCGGGAAGCATGTCCCAATTGCAAACCCACTTCATAATGAAGTGTGTTATAACAGGGTTTTTTTGTGTTTATAATTTTACTAAATTGAGCCGTCAGTATGATTGATACAGATGGACTCTGCCAAACTATGAAGTTATAAAAGTTTTTTTCCTAAAAAATGGGGGTGGAGGGAAATGGTACCCCATTGCTGATGTGCCTCATCAACTGAAAATACTGGAACACCATTCCGGCTCTTTTAGACATGGGAATAAACATTGAGGACATTTTTATGCATTGTGACAGGTTAAAATAATGTTCTTGTCAAAATGATGTCTGACGGTGACTGGGAATGTATTGTGCTCCACATGTCAATCAGTGTCGCTATTGCTGTGGTGCCAGATCAAATGTGAAGCAGATTGAATATATTGCTTTGACGTTCCAGCACAACTCTACTTCCAATATTATTCCATATTCAAGATGTGACATTTTGATTTCTAACACATGTTGTTTTTGTGCCCAGTATGTCTTACATTGCTGTTTTCAGTGCTGTGAACTCCGATTCAATAGCAGCTCCATTCAGGTTGGCTGTTGGTTTTTCACATATAACCAGATAGTGCCATGCAAATATGCCATTCATGGAGTATGCAAACCCAGAACAACACACAGGGATGCAAGGGCAGCAGGACAAAGTCCAGTTTCAGGCATAATACAAATTAATGTCAGCAACTTAGTCATTCCTCTATAGTAGTCAGGGTGGGTCCAATTCTTGAACCAGGTGAATCCACAGAACCCCAGCCTGGCTGATTCATAGCACTTGGAAGGGCAGTCACTGGGGGCAGAGGTTCTTTCCTCCCGGCTCCTGCTAACCCTGCAAACCAAAGCCCCAATGGGTAGGGTGGCCCTAGCTGGCCCAAGAAATTGTTCACAATGGCAAACTATGGATTCTCAGCTGGTTACACTCCAGCAGTACCCCAACACATTATTATTAAAGATTGAAACATATCTGATCAATTCACTGTTTTTTCATGCGGCATATCAAGCAGTTGAGCTCAGGGGAAAGAGCATTTGCCCTCCAAAGTCTTGAGTCCTGTTCACCTGCTGTCCAGTGAGTTGAGCAGCAGTTCTGAATGACATGCCTAAACCAATGCTACTTGAAGGAATCTTTTTTACCAAAAGTGCTGCTGTGTGCATTTTTAAAAATGTGTTTTCTTTTTTTACCAGAATGATTGAGGAGTGTGGAAAAAGAGGGAAGACCATGGCTGAGAAGAGACAACTCTTTATGGAGATGAGTGAGTTATTCCACATTTGCATTTCAAAATAACAGCACGCTGCAAAGATACAATACAAAATTATGTTTCTAAAGCACCTTTCACATCGGGAGGATGTCCCAAAGTGCTGAACAGTCAGGGATTAGGACCCAAGTGGGGGGGCTTGGGATCAGGGAGGGTGGAGGGCAGAGAGGGTAGGGAGGGTGGCTGAAGCACAGTCAAAGAAAAGATTCTTGAGGCATGCTTTGAAGATCTCTGAAGTACAATATTGAGATTCTCATGCTGCAGGGCTGAACAATGTGACCATTTTAACTAGTCATTAATGGATCTTTGTCAAGTCAAGAGGTTAAAATGTTCAATTTTAGATTAAATTACTGTGGAAATGAAAGAAATCTGTTGGATTAATGGATGATTTGGGTTCATTCATTATCATGGTTTTTGAACCCTTTACCCTTCCGCTTCCTATACCCTTTAATATTCTTCTTTCAAGAGTGATTAGGATTCACATGCCACAGGCAACTTTGACTGTGTTTTCTTTACTCAGAAGGCACAAAAATAATGTCCAGCAAAAGCTCCCTTTAAAAATGTAACTATGATTACAGTGGAGACCTGTTATACACAAATCAACATTTACAAAGAATATACAGCACGGAAATGGGCCACCCGACCAGCCTGTGTTGGTGTTTATACACCATGTGAGTCTTCACTGGGGCCAATAGAAAATTGTGGAAATATTTGCCCCAAAATGTGGGGAAATTTGGCAACTATTGTGGAAAATTGCGAGGAGTGATTGATGCTAGTGAAGTACATTTTACTGCCAACCTACATTTTTTCACTTTATTACTCAAAACAAAACATGAAGAAATAACACATATTAGATTGTTGCAAAAAAAATATTAATGCTTTCTTTAACAAAAGCTGGGTGGTCCATTTGTGTGTGTGTGTGTGTGTGCATGTGAGGGGGTGTGTGTTCGGAAACACCAGTGCAGACCCAAAGAGCCCAATGGTCTGTTTCTATCCCACTCAACATTTGAAGGCGTGGAAATCCGCCAAACACCCAAGATCACCGCCTCCTGCCTCTCGGGGCCACAACCTCATACAGAAACAGAGATGCACACACTCACAGCCACAGAGGCACATGGTCACAGACAACTAGAGACACACACACTCAGAGACAGAGAGAGACACAGAGCGAGACACACTCACAGACACAGAGAGAGACACACTCACAGTGTAGCGGATTCCGTGGAAAGATTGCGGCCGCACTTTTCTATTGGCCCCGGTCTTTACCCATTCCTTACTCCCTCCTATTCTGTTCTATTCCCCTCTACCTCATGTGAAGATCTAGTTCCTCTTAAATGCTTCTACACTTTTTGATTCAACCACCACTTCATGCAGCGGATTTCATAATCTCAAAACTCTCTGCGTGAGGAAGATAACCATTTATCTAGAGAAAATTTCTCTTTTACAAAGTGTCATAAGATCTGCATGAATAGACAAATGGGACCCCAATGTATCATCCATAGGACCTTCCTGGTCTATATGCCTTAGTTTAACTAGGCAATTGCTTGACTAGCTGAATCATTGGAGAGAGCCTGGCTGTAATTGATTTTAATGTCCCTTTCATATTTCAGTCCAATTTTTATTTCCAATTTACTTGATGATTATTGATCATTTTTCAATGTAAGAAACTATCTGGTAGCAAACAAGTGCACCATTGCTGTCTTGCTCTTTGAGGAAGGGGTTGTAGACTAACTTCAGGTTGAATATACAGTCTTCATTTAATGTTTATCATCGTGGACGTGTGTATCAAGTTTATCGGTTGAGCAATCCTAAACCTCTAGTGTCCATTATTCCCAGCATCACTGAAGTGTTTGGTAAGTGACCCAACTGGTATTCACCTATACCTCTGTGTAAATTAGTCCCTGATGTAACCATAAAACTAGAGAGGACAATGAAGTCCAAAGCATAAGACAAAGTGGAAATATCACACAGCAGCAGGCTTTCCAAATAAATATTGTTATCAACCCTATGCACATAGTAGGAACTCACACAAACATTCCTTTACATACTTTCATGGGATCACAATTGTGTATGAAGCATGAAACATATCTTTCATTGTGCAAAACCAATATTGTGAAATTATCAACATGCTCATATAAAATTTGCTCTGTGTCAATTCCTTTTACTCTTTTTTTATTCTTTAAAATTCTTAAACCACTGTTTTATCAAGCTAATCCCCAAATCATCTTTAGTTGGTTGATACTGACTTCAGAAAATGATCTCTTTAACTTTAATTTTGTCACACTGATGAGCGGTGTGATTATGATTGACACAAGTGGCGAAATGGCCTTCTTCTGTGCTGTAAATTTCTGCCATTTGGAATAATGAATTCTCCCATAATGTTCTGGAATACGATGCATTCCATATTCCATTGGAATATGGTGCATACAGTTTCCAAATTTTGGATTTTAAAGGTTGAATGGGAACTCGATTTTAAATTAACACATGAACAGGTTAGAGAAATGGAGTTTCTTGTGTGATTAGAATTGTAGAACCCAAACATTGCAACACAGATCATTTGGCCAATTGTGTCTGTGTTGGCTTTTTGAAAGAGCAATCCATTTGATTCCCATTTACCTGTGTTTCCCTTATATCCCTTCAAATTGCTCCTTTTTTGTTAGTTTTCAAAGGGGAACTGGATAGATATCTTAGATAGATCCTGCTCTGGCCACTATTCTTGACAGGGCATTCCGCATCTGAACAACCCTCTGTGTAAAATAATTATTTCCAATTTCAAGTCCTACTTGCTGAACTTCCCAGCTTCTTTCTACATAAGTTACACACTATTTTAAAACTCTGCATATTGTCTCCTCTCCTGAACCAGGCTCCACAAGCCCATCAAGATTATCATCCTATGTTCAAATCCTTCATGATCTCATCTTACCCTACCTCTGTGACTTCCTCTAATCCTACTACCCTGACTGCTCCCTCCACTCAACAAAAGGTTATTTGCATCACATTCCCCGACTGATCTACTCTATCATTGGGTGGGCGAGTGTTCAACCCTACTCTCTGGAACAACAAACCAGAATCCTTCTGCCTTACCTCCTTTCTCATCGTCTTCAAAATCCAACTTAAATCTTTCTCTTCAGCTGTGCTCTTGCCCACCGTTCCACTTCCTTCTTTCCCCAGCTTGGAATCCCAGTTACTGTATGATACACTTTGAGATGTTGTCTTGTTCTGAAAGTCACTGTATAAATGGAAATTGTTGTTCCAGCAAATATCTTAATTTAATACCTTTGTTTCACTGACTCACTGAGCAGTGCAAGCAGTGGAAGTAATTTCTCTCCATCTACTCTACTCTATCCTTCCTAATTATCAGGTTCCTTCAACCATCTCTATTCCAGGGGAAATGGGCTCAATTCCTCCTGTCTCTGCTCATAGGTCAAACAACTGATCCCTGGTATCACCTTATTAAATCTCTTCTGCATCTTCTCTATGGGCCTGACATCTTACCTAAAGTGAGAAGCAGTGATTACATGAATTATTCCATTGAGATAAATTCATGCCAAATATCATTTGATTTTAAAATGATTATCCTCCAAAGTTTTTTTTTGGGGGGGCGTGGTGGGGGGAGTGTTAAATGTGATCTTCTTGGACAAGTAGCATGTTGCCACAGCATCGTACTTTACAAGATCACATCCATACTGTTGCCTGAGGTATCTTCAAGCGTGTAATTACACAGAACACTGCAAAAAGAGAAAAAATCATTAATCTATGGGATATTTATAAATACGCTTTTTGACTTGTAAGTGGATTTATTTTGGTTTTTTGTGGTCAGCATTAATGGCAGGCAAAACGCAGTAAATGAGACAAAAGCTGCATGTAAGATCGAGTCTCACATATCCTCCCTGGCACTGGCTTGATAAGAGGGATAGAGAGAGAAACAAATAAAATGCTGTGGCAACTATTTGACCTTCTTCACTTACATAACCTAATGTAAAATAAAAATGAACTGTTCACATTGAAAGGAAAACTGATTTATTCAGAATAGAAAGTTGTATATATTCTAAACGTAATTGACTGAATCTGAGCCCAAAGCTACCTGCTCCAGAGCTGCCAACTCAATCATATCCTCCTTTTCAATTAGTTACTGAACTGCCAGCTTTACTGTCCTGCCATGTGCTTTTCCACATTCTGTTCCACAAGTAAAGCAGTCAGGCCCCGCTGACTTACAACCTCACTCACACCACATTAAGTAAAGCACCAAAACGATTTTAAAGTTTATGGTGCAAGTCACAGATTTACTTGCAGAAACAGTCAAGTTTTTCTTATTTGGTTAATGCCCTTTCTACCCATTGTAGTTTTTGATCTCCCCCTTGACTCCAGGACTGGACAGACCCCATCATTTCCATCATTTGTAGCTTTAATTGAGATTCAGTGTGGCACAATAAGAATTTTTATTTGATGTAAGGTGCGTTCCGATTTTCCTAGAAACCTTCATAGTTTTGCAAATGCACAGCTAAAGCTATCTCTCCTTCGGATTCAGTCATAATTTCTAACCATCACAATCACTACGACTTTCCCAAAGAAGAATGGCTTCTCCATCCTCACAATCTATCCTTTGGAAGAGAAATGTTTGGAATCTCAATGGCAGTTGAGTGTTCTTGAATGAATAGACCAGTCCCTGTCTATCTGTCTACCTCTCTGACAGGAATAGGAGTGTTTTTGTTTTTTGTCTTACGGTGAACCAAGAAACTACAGGTTAAAATATCTAGGACTGTGAATCTCTAATTAGTTGGGTTCATTCTTGTCAATGTGGAAACTCCTGCTTGTACTTTCTTATGTGCATTGTATATTTGTGCATAGAAGTAGACTCCTGTATGCACCCTCTCAACTTGCCCTTCCATCTCTGTCTATGCATTGTGTATGAGATTATTCTATCTTGTAAACCTTCTTCCCTCTTTAAGCCTATATTCCTTCAGTCTCCACCCTCTCCAACCTCTTGCTATCCACCC